ACTACTACCTACTACTTACTACCTCCTGCTACTACTACTACTACTACCACCACCCACTACTACTACTACTACTACTCCTACTACTACCACTACTACTACCACTACTACTACCACTACTACTACCACTACTACTACCACTACTACTACCACCTACTAACACCTACTACCACCTGCTACCACCTACTACTACTACTACTACTACCACTACCACCACTACTACTACCACTACTACTACGACTACGACTACCACTACGACTACTACTACTACTACCACCTACTACCACTACTGCTACCTACTACCTACTACCACTACTACTACTACTCCTCCTCCTCCTACTACTACTACTAACTACTAATACTACCACTACCACTACCACTACTACTACTACTGCTGCGAATGATTCCGGCCAATTCCTCTCATACCTTGGTTCCTATGAACTCATTGCTTCCTATATGGACCCTGGCCTCATGCTCATCAGCTCATCCCCTCAAAGCCTGGTATCACCCTTCATGGTCCTATGGTCTCATTATTCAGGGGAGGTGGACCTCATGACTGGTATCTCATATCTTCTTGACCTTGTTGACCATGGTAGGGAAGGGGGGCCTATTAATCAGGACTTGACATTCTAGGAACAAGAAGCTACTAGGGTGGAGGTGATATTGTTGGTGCAAAATGCATGTGGACGCGCCCCCGGGCTGCATGGCGGTCGAGAGAAGCCTGTAAGCAAAGGTCGCCTGAGAATGTTTGAGCCGAGGTAAGCTGCCAGAGGCATCGACACAGTCACTTGGAATGATTGGCTTTGGCGAAGGAGAAGAGCAGCGCAGTTACTAGCTGCAAGACCTGGGCACCATGCTTGCAACCGAGGCCACCAACACAAATTCCTGGCTCTGTGGTGCTTTGGTTGCACAAATGTGGTGCTGTTCCACAATTTCCAATCAGTCAGCCACTCCGAATTGCAAGCTCACCAATGACACGGTCCCCCGTTTTGAATCACCTCAGCTGGCCTAGGTGACCATTGCAGACATTGGACTTCCGTGTCTTAGCCGCATTCGCCACGCTGAGAAGGCCATAGAAGACCTGTCAGAGAAGACCTGTGCTACAAAAAAGTGTGCACGTTTAGCCGCGGTAAACTCAATCGAACGAGTTTTGGATTCTTTGTGTTTCACACGATTTCACATTCATTCCTTTTGGCAAACGTGTGCTATGTTTTTTGAGAGATCTGGATTCTTGCCACACACTCGGAGACACCGGCCGCCGGCATGTGAAATACGATCAAGCATGCAACCAACAAAATGCTGCAAAACCAAAGGGCATTCCATTGGATGCGTTCTCATTAGAAGTGTCTGCATAAATTTCACGAAAGCGATCTCCGAAGGAGGTCAGCTGAAGTTTCAGTTTACGATTAGATGGGTCAAAATCGAAGGGAACAATTGAAAAATCACTACAAACGGCCCCCCCCTCCCCCCCAAAGGGACACGACATCACAAACATCATCCCCAGGGGATTTTTAAGGTGTTCTCACATTCGTCGTTGTCATCGCTTTCTTCCCGCCTCTCAAGTGTCAATTCAGAACGAAAGCTTTGCGGGTGTCAAGTGCCAAGGTGCAGTGCTCCTCAAGCTAGTCCTGTTGCCAAGGCAGACCAGGGTGGAGTCGAGGAATTATGGGCCGATGTTCAAGATTGATAGGGAAGAAGGACTCAAAAAATGAGACCACAATCGTCACGAAGAGTCTCAAAGTTCCTCCTGAGACAGGGAGGCGGGGAAGATGGTGCGCCTTGCCATCTAAAAGGCTGCTTGGAGGTATGTTCAGCATGCTAGCATTTCATCAGGCAATGCCAGCTCCGCCGCCAGTGTGGCCAGGCAAGATCTGGTATAGCGGATATGTGCAAATTTCATTAGTTCATTTAGATATTTCGGACTCTTCATGAGTTCTCATCACACTGTCCTGTGGGCTCGCCACCATGGAAACTCACAAGTTGCCAGCTGCGTCGAGTCATACCAACGCCTACTCCAAGCAAGACTTCAACCTGACCAGGCATCATGAGCACCTCTCCGATCGAGCCACCGAGGCTGGTCTCGAACGAAGAGTCAGTCCCTGATGTTCCCTTGCCCCAGTCCAATCCGATCAGTTTGCACCGAGGCCTCCGGTCTTTCTGCCCTGTGGAGCTTTAGGCGGGCTGGACACACTTGGACGCCGAAGGGCACCAATCAAGTATTGTAGTGGAAAACTGATGCTAGCACACCCAAAGAAAGAAGAGGATGATTTATCTAGTAGATTCTATATAGTCACTAGTCAATTGATTTATAGTTATGCGATATCGATCGATCGGCTCAGGGCAAACTGCGAAGATTTGCAGTCGGACCCAACTGATGTGCTGAGAAGGGCTAGAATCCAGCATCCTTACCATCCAAGTTCTATCCTTTGTTGACTGACACCGAACCCCTTCCAACCACCAAGAGACACATGAGCTATTAGGAGGCCTTTATGTGTGTCTCCTCAACTGCTGTTCTCCTAGAGTTTTGGCTCTCCCCACCCAATTGCCCGACATTTGGAAAGGTGCTGCAGGTGGTCCACCAGTCGGCTCACCCATGAATGCTGGCCGCAGCCTGTGAACCTGTTGAGCAATCTGGACAAGAGAACACAAGTACACTAAGTACAATTTGAAAATCCTTGAAAGATCATGAAAAAATATGAAAAGATCTATAAATTATCGTTGTTTAATGTGTTTTATTCCTACGTAGCTGTGGAAAGACAATGCCCTCACTCACTTCCCCTTTCGGAACACTCCCAACTGCAGCATATGTCAACGCAATTGTCGTTTTCAGCTGAAGACTTCGCAAGTTCATGTCAACGTCCCAAGCTGATTCATTTCATGCTGTGACTCTTCCGGGCGTATGCTTGCACAGGCGTTTCGCATCACAAGCTTTGATCCATGCTTCAGAACTGATTCAGGGGTGTTTACTCCTAGAGTCAATCAGAAAGAGGAGTTCAAAGGAACAAGTCAATCAAGTTGCGAGTGTCATCCTGGATGAGGGATTCCGGAATGTCAGAATTGACTTGAACTGAATGCCACTGAGGAGGTGGTAGGACTAGAACAAACCTCCTCACAACACACCGTACTCACAGGAAAACTTCATGCGAGTGCAGTGGAATGTCGAGGCTCAGTGCCTGTTGGATCGCCCACGGGAGATGCATCCACCAGGTGGGACGTTTCTTGGAGACATGTTGGTTTCAACAAAGGCACTAAACACCCAAAAGCCCTGGTTATTGAAAGTCAAAGAGAATCCTCCAAACCTCTATTGTACCTCAGTGTCGTGAGCATGAGAAAAGGCCACAAATGTGCATGGCACTCCGTAAAATAGTGCTCATTTTACATGCTCATACAGTATGACTCAGTATGACTCATACAATTGCCAGGGCAATCTATGCTGGATCGCCCACGCAACTTGGTTGCAGAACACACTTGCTGGCAAGGCGAGTCATTTATATACTGTGGTCGTTTTAATCATCTTTGGCAGTCACATCCACCAAACGGCTTGCCTTGAGAAAGTTGGCTTACAATGTTTTATGATGATTGTGGAGCACCAGATTGGCCTGCCAGAGGTTTGTGGGAGCACCCATGACACCTATGACTCCAGCAGACCCGTTGGTTGCACTCAGCATAGTGGGACAGCAGGAAGCTGGACGATCTGAACACCAGAAGTTCCAGAGAATAGATCATTGGAAGCTTTCGGCTGGTCCTATGCCCCACGCCAATATCGGAGATACATGTGCAAAATCGTCAAGAATAGGCAAAAAGAAGACATGTGACATACACTACAATGCATAAAAGTAAATGACACGCTCATGGTCAATGCAGGCATATTGGTCCTATTATTGGACAAAATCATTTCTTTAAGGTCCTTGCGTGCGGCTCCGCAGTGGCCAGATGCTTCACCACCGCCTCAGTATCAGCACAGGTCTTGGATATCCAAAAAAAAGACGCCTTCAATCCTTGGGGAACTTGTGTCATTGTATTGCTTTACATGTTCTTGGACGTTTGTAATGGACTTCAGATACTTCACAATACTGTTGAAAGAACGTGATGGCACTGCGGTCCTGGATGCCAGCGAGGGCCCGCCTAAGGTGCGCTTGGCCCTGGCCGCCAGGAGGCTGGGAAGGGTGCCAGCATGACAGTGGATGGAATGAAACAAACTCAGCCTCCAACCTAATAGCAAAAGGAACCTAATAACGATGGCCTCTAACCTGAGCACAAATCCTGAACCTTCCATAACCTTCCTATGTTTGTCGCATGTTCTCTCTTGGATCATGCACGACGATTGTGAGGAGCCAACTGTGTTTTGGTCGGATGCGTCAGGCCAACAAGGTACGACAAAACAACGTTAATCAGTTTTAATCAAGTGCAAGTGACGTTGTGGTTGGTGCAAAGCTGGGCTACTGCACGCGGCAAACCATTGATTTGTGCAACATACAAGAACCTTTCTCAATCGCAGTTGGTATATAGCAGAGAATTGTATTTCACGATGTTGCTGGGCATTCCAAGCACATCTACTGACACTTCCACATTTCGTCTCATGGACTGCAGTAGCGCAATTATGCTACCCCACATGCCCTTGGCAGGACCACCACCAGCTGCTATGGCACCTGGGCCACCGATGGTCGCCCCGGTCATGCCTGCACCTGCCCCTTGGCCACAAGAAGCTCAGTGGCAAGGCTGGGCAGAGCAGAGTCTTGTGGCAATCTCATGTTCACTTTTGCACTCACTGGAACTTGATTCGTACAAATTGTAATGTAAATGTTGTCCTTCATGTTTCACATTCCTATACTTGTGTCGAGTGTAAGCAGAATTGAGGGCCAAAATTCCAACCTTGCACTTGGTGTTGGTATTAGCAGCGTCTAGGGCCTAGGGCCTGGAGGTTGTTGAAATGTTTGGTCAATTGGCAGGCATGGCTCCCTGGCAACAAGGAGCTGAGTTTCGCTTGCATTGAATGCATGGCGGATTGGTGTTGAAAATCCCTGAGACTTAAAACATTGGTGCAGGAGTGCCGCAGCAAGGGCCGCCGGGTGCATATATGGTCATGGGTGACGGCATGGCAGGCCCTCAAAGATGTGCTTGAACTTCATCATTTCGGAAAGCACTTGTGATCGCTTGTGCATCGAGTCCGAGCATGTTTGGTTTTAGCCAGCAAGATCCAAGAAGCAATGTTTATATTGGTGCTGGACGATATTGAATCATATTGAACCGTAGTTAGCTCTTTGACTAAAGAGAAGTTGTTTGGTTCACATCACCAGGCTACGGCATGAATATGGCTGCTTGGCTGTCATCGGTGGCGAGACTTGAGAGTTTTGACTTCGTGGGAATGCAACAAATTGGTTTTGGGTTGTACCAACAACGAATCCCACAGTTCCGGCCCAACATATGCAAAACATTCTACAAAACCATTACACACCAACCTGAGCAATGCCACGCACTCCTTCAAGGAATGATGTCATGCAGGACGTGCTGTAGGGGCTGATGCAATTGGTTTTGATCGAAATATCTGCAGCTGCATGGAACTTCAGATGCTAGAGTGGATTCCTGAGGCTTGATACGCTTGCACAGTCAAAACGTTTCAAGGACTCGATGAAGGGATGAGATGAGGTGAGATCAAGCTGTCACACCATCAGGCTGCTGCACTATTTACTGTAGTTGAGCTTTACTGTAACTGGTGTTAGGTTCTCGTGCCACTTGCAATCTCTACCAGTTCGATGCCTCAAAAGGCTGTGCTCTCAAAGCTTTCGTCAAAGTCCAAGAATGGCAACCGTGACATACTGTGACAATGCTAAGAGCTGGAGGCATGCATGGGCATGCCATACTACGTTGATCCACCATTGGTGACCATTCATGTTTCGGAAGATGGCCCCATGCATGTAGCGGGCATTGAACCACCTGGGAGGACTGAAATTCGCTCAGTCAAAGCCTGAAAACACCGAAAGGTTGGGAGCTCAGCTCAGTCACCGAGCCTGAGTGGTGTCATTCCTCACAACAATAGCTGAGAAAGAACAATGCCAGCCAATACCCATGTCCGCCTTGATTTCACAAAGGTTGCTGTTTGGCTGCTCAGATCTTTCAGGCCGGTGAGAGATGAGAGTGCTAGTGAAGGTTTCACCGGCCAGATATCACGTTCAACTCAGGACATTGACAGCCATTCCGCGCTGAAGGAACAGGCACTGTGCGAAACTTGGCAGCATCAAGTATAGCTGTATAGCTCCTCCACAAATGTCTCCACAAAATTGCGGAAGTATATAATTGACGTATCTTGACTTGAAGAGTTTTAACGAGTACTGTATAATATACAGTGCACAAAACACGCTTGAAAGTGCTATTTTGAATTGTTCCCATTCTCTCATGACTGACCTATCTTGCCAGGCTTGCGCTGAGATCTGCAAATTCGTAATCCACTGAGTGGCTATGTGATGCTATGTGACAAGCCATCAGAGTAGGGAGGCTGCCTTATCAAGCGCATCAACAACTAACCCCGATAGTTATCCTAGATTGGAACCCGTTGTTCATCCTACCGGTCCCATTAATCATGAGCGACTGAAAGCAAGGTAGCATTTCTGCAAAATCTGCACAGTGTTTTGCAGAGTTCCCCCCACCGCTTGAAGGTTGCAAAAGCTTCATATTCTACTTTCTATCGCCTTCGAAGATTCATCCACCATCACAATGTATATACCTCCACATAGCCTTTGGAGCACACTCACGTGTGAATTGGTAGAGCGTATATGTCATGCGTCCTTGACAAGACCCATTGTCAGACAACTGCGCCAGAAGATGAGGCAATGCCTCAATGATGCCTCAGTCGGAGTCAGTATCCTATTTTTCTTCTCAATAAAAATGATTCGCCTCAGGCCCTTTGGGCGCACACCGTGCCCAACTGTGGCGGTTTTGAGCAGAAATCAACATATAAACTTTTTGAGAAGTCCGGAGTTCTGAGACAGACTGCACGGATTTGTGCTACATCGATCACAGAAAAAGAACTGGATTTAGGTTTTTGCCAGGATTGATGGGTTGAGTTGCAAATGCCTCGGTCTCCGGTGACGTGTGACGTTGACTTTTTCGCCGCTCATCTGCCAGATGCTGGAAGATCTATGTAGTTTTGAAGCGAATAGTGGAAGAAAAATATGATCAAGGATATCAAGGGGTTGTTGTGAAAATAGAATATAATTACTGTGAGGGTAAGTTGTGATGGCAGCTGATGGAAGATGTGTGAAGAATCAGGAAGGGTGCTTAATGGACAGCACTTCGCTACCCAGTGGTTGAACATGGTTGAACAATGAGTTTTCAATGGGAATGACTGCGAGCCCACGCTTTGTTCTCAAGAAGTAAACATAATTTGTTTCTCCAAACACATAATATTGTTCTCCAAACACATAATTTGTTTCTCCAAAAAAATGATTGTGTGCACCAAGATTGGCCAGTCTCAGCGGATTGCGGCAGTTTCGGTTTCATCGGCAGCTCAGTGCACTGTCGCAGCGCTCACTCAGAGCGCAGGGAAAGGAGATGAATGTCACAGGTGTTTTCCGATGGCCCTTTGAGGCCGTTCTTGGAACTTGAAGTGATTGAATGGTTTGAGAAATGTGAAACAGATTTTGGTCCGGCAATCTTGCAGCGAAGACATCTGTGTTCGTGCGACTAGCGGCAGACGTCCGCCTGCACTACGAGCTGCTGTGGATTCTCTAGGGAAACTCTTGGCTGGCGGAATAGGTCAAAGTATGAAGGTCGTTTCACAGTCGAAACGCAAACAAAACCGTCATGCTCCGAACTATTCACAATCATTCTGTAGGATATTCTATATACTATATATATATACTGATACTGTCGATAATTATAGATAGCATATGCCGAAAGAGTCAAGAGACCCTTTGGGGGTCAATCAGCAATCGAGGATGGTTCGACACTGCTGCAATTTCCTGCGGCAACTCGGCGACCCTTTCACAAAGCTCTGAAAGCCTTTTTAAAGGAACTTGGAATTGGCTGGGAGCTTGAGCAGACCAGTATGGACAATGCTAAGCAAGACTCGCATGCGCGATCGGGCTCCAGAATGTAGAAGTTTGCTGCTTGAAAGGGACTCAAAGCTTCTTAGGTATTGTTTGCGCAGACGATGTATTATATAGTCAGTGGAGGAGATTGTAATTGAACATTGTTCTATGCCTGATGCATTTCAAATATTTCCTTTGCAGATGATGTCACTTCGCATTCTGGTGTCCTGTTCAATGGCACTAAGCTCGCCAAGTTTGCGTGGCTTGTTGGGTTTGGCGAAACCCGTGGAAAGCGCAGCTTGAACTATTAGCTCGAGTCAAACTTCCCATGTTGATTCCTCTAAGCTGGTTGTGCTCCTTTTCTACTTAGGAGCCTGCTCTTGATTCCCATTGCTTTGTACCTATTTCATCTTGAAAGCCTGTCATCAAGCAGTAGGCCTCCACGGGTTTCACTTGTTTGATGATGCTCCGTGGAACCTCCCAGAGAAAGACTGACTGGCCTGAGCTGTCCATTCAGTGCCACTTTGAAATAAATAGTGTGACATGTGACATGTGCTTTTCAAGGATGAAACATTCAGAGAACATGATAATTAGCAACCATTGTAAATAAATATCGTATATATAATATATAGGCATAATACCAAATGGTTTAAGATAACTTCTAACGAGGGCTTCTCCCGTGGGGATGAGGGCTGCAAAGGGGTGTGCAAACGTGCCCTTGCAAACAGACCACTTCCAACTATGCATATAGGACATCAACAATCCCCCAAAATGAGCAAAACATAGTAAGGAGGACCAGAGGATGATTTTGCCTAGAAGGACGGTTGATGAGAACAAAGTTGGTTTTGCAATTGAATGACAAGTAGGACAAGCTCAGCTGCCGGAGACTCAGCAATTTGCTGATCCCAAAGTGCTGAGTCTTTGCTTGTGCTGGCGCAAACCAAGCAGGGCCTGCAGCCAATATGGGTTACAGGGAAGTAGACTGCAGTTGTTTCCACCACAGCAGCCCGTTGTTTGGTGAGTTCGAGAGATCAGTGCGATTGTGCCCGTTGATCGGTGCCAGCAGCAACTGCCCAAAGGCTTAGCGGATGTGCAAAGAAGAACGGATGAAACCTTGGCAAGGACGGTCAGAAAATCGATGGTGACTGAGAGCTCCTAATGAGCGCGGTGACTTGATTCTCCCAGGCTCATCCCAGTAGAAACGACTGAAAGCAGACTGTGCTTGGTCGCTGAAGAGCATGCGACCCTCGAAGTCTGAGACGGGGTGAGCAGTACCCAGATGTTGCATTTACTTCATTGAGTTGGAAGTTCAAAGTTCTTAAAATATATTCTGTCGACACCATTTGCATACCCCCATACAGCCGTTGAGTGGTTAATTCTAGCAGTACAGCTGCCACTTGCAGACCATAAATTGTTACAAGCTTAAGATGACATGCGCGAGAGTGGACATCTACAAAGCATCAAATCATCAATGCGATATAGATCATGTTGTTTCGTCCCCCCCAATGCTCGCACAATCAGATTCTTGGGCCGTTTTTGCTGTGGGGAAGCTCACCCCGGACACTTGACCCATAATCGTAGGATTCAAAGCTGCACTGCAGATGGAAAGAAGTATTCAGTATTCTCTGCATGCGAACCGGGAATAGGACAAGCGGGTGAACACTTATAGAACCGTGTTAGCTTGTCTTTGGGCAGTTAAAACAAACGTGTTTTTCCGTCATTGAAAGTCCGTGCGCACGACCACCGGAGTACAGTGTTGTAAGGACGACTGACGCTCAACCGATATTATTGGCCTTTTTGACATTGCCAGATCTTGTAATGTATGATCTGGTCATGCATGTTATAGACCTATATACTGTATAGTTACAAGTATTAGTGGCAAGAAGCTACTAGGAGCAAAGGGCATCGCTACTAGGAGCAAGGACGCTACTAGGGGCTCCTGGCCGTACTACTAGGAGCAATGTTCGCTACTAGTAACAAGAAGAGCACATGTTCCACACTGACATGTTGTGACCCCCTGTAGGCCTTTGCATGCCGCCACAGTTGAAGTCGCAAGATGAGGCACACTGATAACGGAGGGCTGAGGTTCTTGCCAGGAAGTAGTTTTAGACGATCACGGGGCACAGTTGCAGTATGTATATATATAAATTGTATTGACATTGCAATTGTCCATGGGACCAGGGGGTCACGTTACAGCTTATTCATGTGCGTCGCTCGAAATGTCAACGCCCACAACAATGCTTCGCATGAATCCTCCCACAAACGTTGCATCTGGAATGCTTCTGGTTTCAGTCCAAAAAGGCTCCTTCCTTGCGTATCTTGGTGCGAGTCCTTCAGAGCTTTGATCAAGACAACTTGCTTTGGAGCTGGTATAATTGATTGGCAATTTTAAACACAAGCAAACTCAAACCCTGTTGGATTGTCTTGTGACATTGGGGTGCTTGAGTACACAAGGAGGTCGAAAATCCGGTTTGTCTTGCTCAGAGGCACCAGACACATTGGCTTGACAGCAAATTTAATCCTCTCCACCTATTAGAAAACACGCCGGCCCCCCCTAATAAGGAAAC